TTTCAACGAAGCAGAGATGGCTTTCAAGAAAACTGATTATGCTGACGAAGAGCTGGAACAGGGAGAGATTCCTGTTGAGGTGGAACATGTTGATGCTGAATTGCTTACCCCAGATGAAGTCGAAAAAGACGCAGAAGATACTGTCGAAGATGAGGAGATTGATAATGACTACCTGCTAGCAAGAGACAGGTCGAGGAGAGTCATCAAGCCACCTCAGAGACTTGGGTATGCAGATCTTATAGCTTATGCCTTAATCTCTGCAAGTGAGGTTCTAGACGAAGAACCTAGAGACTATAAGGAAGTTATGAGGAATCAAAAGAAGACAAATTGGTCTTTGATGTATGCTATGGTTTGTACTAGACCCGACATAACATATGCAGTAAGTCTTGTAAGCAGGTACATGGCGAATCCTGGAAAGGCTCACTGGCAAGCATTGAAGTGGATTTTAAGGTACATAAATGGGTCTCTAAATAGAGTCCTAATTTATGGTGGAGCCTTAGGTGAAGATAGTAAAGCAGCAATCGATGGATATGTCGACTCTGATTATGCAGGTTGTATGGATTCCAGAAAATCTATCTCTGGATATGTGTTCACTATGTTTGGGACAACAATCAGTTGGAAAGCAACACTTCAGAAGGTCGTTGCCCTATCAACCACTGAAGCCGAGTATATTGCCCTAACTGAAGCTGTGAAGGAAGCATTGTGGCTTGAAGGTTTTGCAAAGGAGCTAAAACTTCAAGGTCGAGTTATCACTGTTAAATGTGATAGTCAAAGTGCAATACACCTGTCGAAGAATTCAGCCTATCATGAGCAAACCAAGCACATTGATGTGAGGCTGCATTTCATCAGAGAGGTAATCGAGCGTGGAGAAGTCCAAGTGCTGAAAGTTTCGACAGATCATAATGCTGCTGATATGATCACCAAGACATTGTCCAGTTGCAAGTTTTTCCACTGTATGCAGTTAATAAATCTGCATGAAGAAAGCTAGTTTCTTGATGTTATAGAGTTAGATCCAAGGTGGAGATTTGTGAGACATTGGATCGAACTCTAGTGTGGTCGAAGTCTGTTCGCAAGTAATGCGTGTTGTAGTCGAAGTTTGTTCTAACATGCATGAGTAAATATTGCTAAGGTTGTTAGCATGAGTAAATATTGCTAAGGTTGTTAGCATGAGTAAATATTGCTAAGGTTGTTAGCATGAGTAAATATTGCTAGGGTTGTTAGCATGTTGAATTGGGTCTTGCTTGTAAGTCCAATTGTTTAAGTTAGCTTGTACCCTAAGTTAGCTTGTAATGGGTAATTGTTAAAAAGCCCATTAGGTTAGTGTGCTATTTTATTATAAATAGGATGCTAGTTTCTCAATCTTGAGAATAAGGAAAAAATAGGAAGATAAAATCCTAATTTCAAGGGAGAGAGGTTATTTTGTTATTCTTGTATACTTGTAATCTTGTTCTAAGAGAAAGGAAAGAATAGCAGTTTAATAACCAATCCTTGTTGTTCCTTGTTGTTTTACCTTGTTTTCTTTGTTAACCCTAACCCTTGTGCGTTTCTTGATAAGAAAGAAACTGTTTATACTTTGTTTAAAGGTATCCAATTCACAACAGTTTATGTGAGCATAATTCAAACTCTGCGGACATTGTTATTTTTTGGATTTTATTTATATTATTATTAACTTTTAGTTCACAAATTGGTCCTCAAAAATTGTTAAAATACCACAACATATATAGTATTTCAAATCGTTTTTCGAGCTATTATGCATCATCACTACTTGCCATTTAATGTTTGATTCTTTATGCCTTTAAAAATACATATTCATGCCTTTCAAGCTAGATTGCCTGCAAAAGTCTTGCTGATATTTTAAGGTTTGCAAGACATGCTGATTTTGCACTTAAGTTTTGTTCATAACTATGATATTATTCATACGTTGGAAATTTTGGATAAGTTCTTTTTAATTGCAATGCAATTCATTTTTCTTTGAATTACTATTTTATTGGTGCAATGATTTCTATATATATCAAAAAAATTATCTCTATTATAACATGTTAGTTTTACCCGTGCGGGAGCACGGGTATTCTACTAGTTCAACTAGTTGTATAATTAAAACCATAAATAATTAAATATGATAATAACCTTGATAACAGTTGATAGGTCTCAATATCAGCATGCTTTTTAGATTTTATCCTCGCACCCCTAATATTTCTATAATGCCCATGATATTCTTATGTAAATTTAATCAAAAAATTCGGACAAAGTATCCGGTAGATTAAATTGAAAAATCTGGTACACAATAAAAAGTTCAATAGTGTATATGAAAATTCCACTGATATATACTATATGGAAATTACTAAGTTTTTTAAAAGTTACTATTTATTGAATTTTTTTGCTTAAAATAAAAAATTCTGTAGTTTATATGTTATTGGAATTTTGAAAATATTTGTAACTTATTGGATTTTTTGTCCATGAATGAAAAATTCAGTAATTTTAAAAGTGTGAAAATTGAAAGATTGAGATTTTGCCGGCAGTTTTGTATGGTTGTGTTTGCACCAACTATTTTATGTGGTCCAAAATGAATTTATAGTTGTAAAAATAGGAGTCACGTGTTGTTAAAAAAACATCTTACAATGTCTTAGTTGTTTTTAAGACGAAAGTGTATTTCAACGGGGTAAAATCTCGTGTAGAGTTTCGACTCCCAGAGGGCACCACATGTCTTGTCGTTCTAATATTCAAGTTGAATAATATGATGCCAAACACCAAGAATAGAAAAGTGGGTAAGGTCGAGTTTCGTGCAAGCTTTATTGATATTTATGGAAGTGTTATATACAACCTTATGGAGTTGAAGACTGATGAAGATTTGAAAGTTATGTGGAGAACATATCATTGTATGCTAACTAAGAGACCAATCATGTTTGATGCAACAATTACTAGATTTGTCGACAACGTAATCAAGATGTTGAAATGTCAAGAATAATCTGGTAGTGTTTATGTTTTTTTTTGTTTTGTTAAGTTATGTAATTGTTTGTTTAAAGTTATGTAACCGTTTTTCGAATGTTAAGTTAGGTTCATCATGCATCAACGCAAATGGCACAATGTTATCTAATAAAAAGTATTGTGCAAATGTCTAAGTAATACTACACATAATAATAATAATAATGTGTAAATAGATCCGCCACTGACTATGTGTGTTGCATGCACTGCCAAACTATAAATCTTGTCATTTGGGTTAACCAAACCCATTAGATCACCCATAATGACTACTATCATATACAAGCGCTAAGCGTCTGAAGGTGGCAAGAAACACAAGAAAGGGGGTTGGAATTGAGTTTCTCACACTTCTATAAGTAATACTTTTTATGACGGATATTTCACCTCGAACATGCCAAACGCCGAACTTATAGGTCTTGGGAGCGACAAGTTTGAATTTTTTTTAAACAACTTTTTCCCTCGGTTTTATATAAAACTGAATGAGGTAATATAGCAATAAGAGATCTTTATCATATGAAAGTTGAATTGAACTTGTTGTGAATCTTGAATTATTGCTTTTTGACATACACACTTACTTGTAAAATTGTCTTCATCAAAACAACTACTTGAGAAGCTTGTCTTCACAATGATATCCCAAATATTTTTACATTTTCATCAATCAAAAGGAACCATGTGATATAACCGTTTCAAGTGTATCATGACTGCTTGGTAGTCGAGGATATGCACTTTATAGCTCTGTTGATCACCGTGAGACATGACCATTTGATGACATAATGTTATACTCGAGATGGTTGGGTTGCGGTTCTCGTCTGACATTTCCTCATCTACCTAAGCGCGTCATACGGAAGTTGGGCTACACCTAGACTATTCTCAGACACCCTATTGTCTCTGCTCCTCTTGTTATGATAGGTAGAGATATGAGTGCCATGAGAAGGCACAAAGTACCATAATTGAGAGCGATTGGAGCTACGTAGACGGATACATCAAGTGGTTCTTCAGGGTGTTACATCCATATATGGTGTAGGGTGCTCCAGGAGATGCACCGATGCCAGATCATTAGGAGATACTAGAGGATGGTCATGCTAGGTTAGATCATGCTCATGATGTGTTTCTTAGATATCGCTGTATTATGGAGATTGCATAGACATACATTGACAAATGTATCTTCCCTAATGGTTCTGAGGTGAGGGAGGCCATAAATGCCATTACGACAGAGGCACGAGAGACAATGATGTACTGGGGGTTGAAGAGTCGAGAAGCTCTAGTCCGACATACACAGTAGTTGATAGTATTTGTACTTTGAACTTATTATCGATTGTATTAAATTTGCTTTATTTCGACTTTATTGTGTATCGACTGGTGACTTCTTTTGACCATCTGAATTTATACATGTCATTTATTGCATGTGGTTTAATGCTCATCGCATAACATGAACTTTAATATTTATAAATAATCATTTTCATTTGAGTAACCATATAACTAACTTAACATGCATTGTTTTAATTGTTTACGAAGATGCATATCTAGAACAATAAATGTAAAATGAGTCTCTTAAAGAGAAATGCATGTGGTATGTTTTAAAATATTTTGGAGATGTATCTTCAAATCAATTATAACGTTTCACCTTAAGATAAAGATGTATTTGAAAAAATATTTTTAAAATCTAAGAGATATTTTAGATTTTTGATATGGTGTTTTTCCACCATACTTAATAAGAAATCCCCCTTTTAAAATGTGGGGAGATTGGGAAAGCGTTCAAAAATAGTTGTCTCATAAAAAGGCCAGGCCCAGATCCGTGTTAGGTCCAACTGAGCTGTCACCAGTACTTCCCCACTGCACAACCCCCACTCTTACAACCCTCTGTTTCTCACGCTCTCAACCCGCACGTCTAAACAAACTCAACAGAAAAAGTACACATATTCACATTTTCACAGAAAAAAATTCCTCCTCCCTATATCTATTCATTTCCCGTTTTCCTTCTTCATTTTTCTCGCCTCCCCTAAAATCCTCCTCTCTTCATCATGTCCGATCACTCCGCCGATCTTCCTGCCGCCGCCGCCGGTAATTTCAATTACAATCACAATATCTTAATCATAATCACGCCGATCATCCATTTCTCAAAACTCATTCTTAACTATCTTTTCATCACTTCAAATTTTTAACCCTAGTAACCAACTTTGTGAAAAACCTAGTTCTAAATTCTAGTGTTTTCTTTTTCATGTAGCTCTTAGCGCTGAAGATCGTGCTGGTCTCGTTAATGCACTCAAAGTAAGTTTCAGACACATATCATACTGAATGAGTCTCTTAGTAATCATAAAATTAATTACAGTAGTTTTTTTTTTTACTTCGTGTCGAATTGGAATCAATTGTTTCTCAATCAACGATGACATTGCAAAACTATACTATTACTATCTGGCATAGTAACAGAGACACGACACCGATAACATATACGATAGTATTCGAGTTTGCATCTATTATTTAAAGATTTAAAAATATTCTAATCAAAATTAATGTTGAACACCGACTTTACTGACATATGTGACTGGGGTCATATAAGTATTGAACACATGTTGGATACTGCGAGGCACCTAATCCTGTAGGCGTTTCTGCCTCATAGCTATCAAGTACTAATTTCGTGAGTTTGTAATGTTAGCTTTTATTTTTTCATTTTTGGAATTGTTTCTGCAATGTCTACGGGTTATGTAGGATAAACTTCAGCTCTTGGCTGGGGAGCATGTGGATATCTTGGAAACACTGTCACCAAAAGTCAAGCAACGTGTTGAGGTTCTTAAAGTTTTGCAGGTTTGATGTTCCTCCTGCTATCTCTTGCTCTCTCATGTTGACATGTGTTTTACATAGTTGTAATTACTTTTCTTTGATTCAGTCGAACTATACTAGGGTTGTTTAGTTTTAACGAAGTGATCTTGAATTCAATCTGCTTGTGCTAGTATTATACTTATTTCGTTTTGATAATGAATTGCAATTAATTTTTATTTCTGTTAAAGTATACCTGCTTGTAGCTTTGTGCTAGAAGTTCCAATTTTATATTAGTGAGGGGAAGAAATGATAGTATGATTTTGTTTTTCAACTTGCAGAGTGAACATGATGAGCTGGAGACTAAGTTCTTAGAGGAGCGAGCTCAGTTGGAAGCTAAATACCAGAAGCTTTATGAACCACTTTATACTAAGGTGTGTGTTACTCATTGGTTATGATTATAATATCTAACTTTTTGACAGAATTCCTTGTTGTTTCACAATGGTTACAAGTTTTATTTTTTATTTTATTTTTAAAATTTTTTTTATGGTTGTAGAGATATGAGATTGTCAATGGTGTTATTGAGGTTGAAGGAATAACAGATGAAACAGTACTCGGAGAAGAAAACAAAGCAGCCGAAGGTATGTTATTTTAGTTTTGTTCACCAGTGTAGGTTGTAGCAATGTACGTTCTCTTTTGATACTATTTTGCATCTTCCTTTTAATTCAGAGAAAGGAGTGCCTAACTTTTGGCTAACTGCATTGAAGACTCATGAAACACTGGCCGGAGAGGTAATGCAATTTCTGTATATCTATTGTATAGATTCCATCTGTTAATGATTGCATATTTTTAGTTACCTCTGCTTTTTCTTTTTCTGTGGTAGATTACTGAACGTGATGAGGAGGCCCTCAAGTATCTCAAAGATATCAAGTGGTGTAAAATTAACAATCCTAAGGGTTTCAAGCTGGACTTTCATTTTGATTCTAATCCTTATTTCCGGAATTCTGTGCTGACAAAAACATATCACATGATTGAAGATGATGATCCTATATTAGAGAAATCAATTGGGTAAGCAATATCTTTTTAATTTCTTAGGTTTTATATTCATATTTCTGTTTGTGTTATGCTAATTATTTTTTGAACATTGTAGAACGATAATTGAGTGGAATCTAGGAAAGTGCTTGACACAAAAGGTTCTGAAGAAGAAGCCAAAGAAAGGATCAAAAAATGACAAACCAATCATAAAAACTGAAAAATGTGAAAGTTTTTTCAACTTTTTCAACCCTCCCCAAATTCCTGAGGATGATGATGAAATTGATGACGATATTGTATGTCTTTACTTTATATCTATCCACTAAGAAGTTGTAAAATTATTATTATTGACCATTGCCTTTGTTTTACATTAATAGGTTGAAGAGCTTCAGAATTTGATGGAACATGATTATGACATTGGGTAAGTCAATAGTGAATACTTGAGTGATATATATTCTTTTCCTTTAATCTAACGGGTGAAGCCTCTTGGTGCATTTGTTGATCTAGATGACAATTGATTCTAGTGTCTAGTGAATTTAGATTTACAATTTTTTTTAGGAAAAGGCTTCTGTTGTTCTTTTCTATTATTTGTTTGATGAATTTATAATTTTTTATTTATTTAGCTTCCATTCAAAAGTGTTTGTTGGAAGGTTGTGTGACATGTTCAGTACTAAACTGCTTATAGTGCATTGGATTATTAGTTCGAGTCGTTGATGCTATAATCGCCTTGTGTGCCATTTAAAAAACTGGAAATAGTAGGTGTCACCGGAAAATAAGATTTCCCCCCTCTACTACTACTACTACTACTATTATCTTGTACTCCAAGATGTATTTATGTTGGTGTGCATTTGCAGTTCTACAATACGAGACAAAATTATTCCTCATGCTGTGTCATGGTTCACGGGAGAGGCTGTAGAGAGTGATTTTGAGGACACAGATGGAGATGGAGATGAAGATGAAGAGAATGATGAAGAGAATGATGAAGAGGATGATGAAGAGGACGAGGATGACGATGATGACGATGACGAGGAGGAGGAGGAAGAAGATGAAGGGAAGGGGAAAAGCAAGAGCAAGGTATGAATATAGATTTCTTAATTTGGCATATTCTGCTGCATTCTCATATCAGATACTGATTATTGATTCTGTTCTTTTGTCGTAACTATCTGTTAAACTATGGGTAACTTATGGATAATTCACATTCTTACTATATAATGTTTTGTTTGTCTTAACTGCAGGTTGGTTACACTGAGTACCCTCCTGATTGCAAGCCGCAGTAGTGTTTGATTGTGTGCAACTGTCCTGGATATATTTCGTGTCAGTGGTACAATTACCGTAGAGTTTGGAATATTTTAGTCAAAAGCTTTTTTTTGGGTTAATCTTTTGGCCTCTGCTTAGGATTCTTGGGTTTTTATTTTACATTGCTATTGTCTGTCAATTTCTTGCCTTTTTTTTGGGTTAATCTTTTGTTTTCTGCTTAGGATTCTTGGGGTTCTTTGTGTGTTGCCCATTGATATTTATTTTATATCTCATTTTTTTTTGGGTTTTAAAAGTAAGTGACGAGGATTTGTGTCCATTGTCCATATTTACCTATTATAGGAATCTGTACAGATCTACTTCCATTACTATGATTATTCTATCAAACTTATTGAAAATGTTAACTATCTAGGTCAAGCATTCGTACCAATCCGCCACTCGATTTCAAACGAAATTTTTGCCTCCCTAGTTCCAAGTAGAATGAATCTTAGAATTGAACATTTTAAGTTGAGTGTCGGGGAGGCCAAACTATAAGTATTTAGAAGAATATGATTTTTTTTAAGCTCTTCATTTTGCATTATTCATTAGACACTGATCTGAATAAGTTGAGTTGAATTGAGTTAGCCTTTGCAAAACTTTAGTTTAGTCTTCGTTTGAAGTTTAGCATGAACTCCATTATAGATTTATAACACTTTTTTAAAAGTTTAATATGACGCATTAGTTTACTTTAAATCTAATACACCCGTCTTTAATTATAAGATCTTGTTTAGTTTTTTTCTTATCACTTTTTGAAGATCTTTTCAAATTTTTTCAACTGGATCTTATATTTAGAGATGGAGTAATATTTTCATATGAACACTATTTAAATAAATATTGTGACACATATTTAATGAAGTGTTGTGGTTTTTTAAAAAGAAAATTCAATATGCCAATGGGATTAAATCTTATTTTTAACATTTAATATTATGTTTTTGAAAATCTTATTATATAAGATTTATTATAAGTCAATTCTAATTATAATGATAAATTTAAAATATAAAAAAAGTGAGTAAATTTATAACTTAATCTTAAATAAAAAATTTAGTATATTAATAATAATGATAAAAAAATATTAATATCAATCTTAATAGGTTGGTCTGGTACACAATGAAGATGCTTTAGCATGTAGTTGGATTTTTTTTCTTTAGAACAGAACTGTAACAATAAATTTAGAATGAAAAACGTCATTATTTTATTGATGTTTGGCTTCTCTTAAATAGCCTAAGTACAATTGAAAAAATCCTAACATTTAGGAATATACTACTACTCAGTTCTCCTATAATATAGAACTGACTTATTCAACTAAAGACTTGGTAAAACCCTAACAAACTAAATTATTCAACTACAGACCTTAACAAATCCTTCCCTAAACTGCATGCTGAGAGCAGAGCAGTTTAATTAGGAACCTCCAGCACTCCTAACATCTTCCTTAATCTTATGAATGTGCCGAGCTTAAGTGGCTTTGTCATAATATCGGCTACTTGATCTTGTGTTCTATAATGTATTAGCTTCACTCTTCCCTCTCTAGTTTGATCCCTCAGATAATGAAATCTTACCTCAATATGCTTGCTTCGACCATGAAATACCGAATTCTTTAAAAGTTGAATTGTAGAACTGTTATCACATCTAATCACAATACAATCATCATGATTCTTTCCAATCTTGTCAAGTATTCTCTTCATCCAAATTCCTTGAGTTGCACATGATACTGCTGCTATGTATTCGGCCTTTGTGGTTGACAGAGCAACAATGGGCTATTTTTTCGAACTCCAGGCAGTGGCTCCTCCACACATTAAAAAAACAAAACCTGATGAACTTTTGCGATCATCTAGATCACCGACATAATCACTATCTGTATATGATAACACTTTCTCATCTCCTCCTCGTCTGTATAATATTCCAAACTCCATTGTACCTTTAATGTATCGAAGGATCCTCTTTACTACCTGAAAATGTGCTTCAGTAGGTGCAGACATGTATCGACTAGCCAGACATACAACAAACATCAAGTCAGGTCGTGTAACAATGAGGTACATTAGGCTGCCTATCATTTGTTTGTAGAGTGTGATGTCTACCTCGACTCCTCCTCCTTTCTTTGAGAGTTTCACACCTGGTACTATGGGATTGCTCACTCCATTGTTGTTCTTCATACTAAATCTGTCAAGAATATCTCTTGTGAACTTTCGTTGACACATGTAAATTCCCTCTTCTTTCTGCAGCATTTCCACTCCAAGAAAATACCTCATTTTCCCAAGATTAGTCATATCAAAGTTTCTTTTCATTGATTCTTTGAATGAAAGAAACATTCTTTCATAGTTTCCAGTGAAGATTAAGTCATCTACATAAAGACTGACAATCAAAATATTACCTCTGTTTTTAGTTTTGATGAACAAGGTGTGCTCGAAGTCACACTTTTCGAATCCCTTTTTAGTAAAGTATTTTTCAATCTTGTTGAACCATGCTCTTGGTGCTTGCTTTAGCCCATACAATGCCTTTTTCAGCCTATATACCTTCCCTTCTTCTCCTTGCTTAACAAACCCCTTGTGGTTGCTCGACATACACCAGTTCACTAAGCTCTCCATGTAGGAATGCACTCTTTACGTCAAGTTGGTAGATGTACCAGTTCCTTTGTGCCACAGTTGTTGTAATGAGTCTGATTGTATCCCACCTTGCAACTAGTGTGAAAACTTCGGAATAATCTACTCCAAACCTTTGAGCATATCCCTTCGCTACTAGTCTGGCTTTGCATTTATCTACATGTCAATGCTTATTAAATTTAGTTTTAAAAACCCATTTAACACCAATAGATTTCATACCTTTTGGAAGTGAGCTCAACTTCCATGTATGATTACGTTCAATGGTTTCAATTTCTATTTGCATAGCCTTTCTCCATTCTGCATGTTTTATTGCCTCTTCATAGGTTAATGGGTTTCCTTCATTAGTAAGGACTTGAAAGCCTTGGGTCTCAATGAACATTGCTTCTTCTTCTTCCTCTGAAAGCTTATCTCCAGAGACATAATCTTGGAGATATACAGGTTGTCTGACTTCTCTTCTCGTTCTACACTCTCTTGCAGTTGAGCTATTAGATGAGGAGCTCTCTCGTTCTTCATGACCTTGCTCATGTGTGGTGTCTACTACTTCAGGGAAATAATCCTCCTCATGGCCTTCAATATCCTCCCCATCATTCTCCCATGTGAGTACATTAGAAGTTGTAGTCACATGATCATCGTTCCTTCCCCAATCCCAAGCTCCATTTTCTTCAAACACAACATCCCGACTGATAATTATCTTTTTAGAGTTGGGATTGTACATTCTGTATGCCTTGGACTCCTCACTGATACCAAGAAAAATGGCCTTGCAGCTTTTGTTATCAAGTTTGGTTCTTCTTGCTTCTGGAATGTGAACATATCCAATGCACCTAAATGTTTTGAAATGACTTACATTTGGTTTGAGGCCACTCCATGCTTCTTTTGGCGTTTGTTCTTGCAGTGCTGATGTTGGACTTCGATTCAATACATAAGTTATCCATTTCGTTCCCTCTGCCCAAAATTCTTTTGGCATCTTTTGGTTTGATAAAGTGTTGCACATCATATTCATGATTGTTTGGTTCTTCCTCTCCACTACTCTATTTTGTTGAGGAGTATACGCCGTTGTTAATTGCCTTCTGATGCCTTGAGTCTTACAGAACTCATTAAATTCTTGTGAAGTGAATTCTCCGCCTCGGTCTGTTCTGAGACAGCATATTAGAGACCTTGCTTCTTTCTCAACAATGGCTTTGAAACTCTTAAAGATAGGCAGTGCTTCTGATTTTTATGAAATGGGATAACTCCACATTTTCCTACTATGATCATCAATAAAATTTAGGAGATACCTCTTTTGACAGTTTGACATTGGAGTAATTGGACCACATATATCTGCATGGAGAAGTTCCAAATTTCTTGATGCTCTCTAACTGCTTTTCCTTGGGAATGGTTCTCTTTTCTGCTTCCCCATGAGACAATCTTCACATAGCTTTGTTGGCTCTCCTATATGTGGCAGTATAATAAACATATTCTTTGAATACAAAGTTTTCAAACTTTTAAAATTTAAATGTGCATACCGGCAATGCCATCGATGTGCATCCTCAGAGGTGATAGCTTGGAAACATGATTCTGCATCGGCTGTTCTGCCCAGGATTGCAAACATTCTATTTGTACTCATTTTTGTGTCCATGATGACCCCCTTACTTGGATGATAAATTCTGCACGTATTATCTTCGATTACAATTTTCAGCTTTCTTTCTTGCAATTGTCCGATGCTCAAAAGATTGTTGCTTAGATCTGGAACATAATACACGTCCTTGATTACTTGAACCAGACCATTTATCTTAAGCTTGACACTCCCTTTCCCATGAACCATCATCCTGGCATTGTTTCCTAGCTTCACCGAGTGCTTAAACGTTTCATCCATATCTGAGAACTATTTCTTGATTCCAGACATATGGTTGCTGCACCCGCTGTCAAGAAACTACAAATCCTCCATCTTTGCGCCTTGTATCTCCACATATGCCATCAGTAAGAGTTCATCCTCTTCATTGAACTCCACATAGTTAACTTGATTTTCCACACTAGGACATTCAAATTGAAAATGCCCAAACTTATGGCATCTATAACATTCTATTTGTGTTTTATCAAGCCCAAATCTTCCACGTCCACGTCCCTAGCCTCTGAATGCTCCTCTGCCCCTTCCTCGTACTCCGCCAAAGCTTCCTTCTCTTGAGGATGTGATCTGCAAAACCTGTTCTTCCTTTGTTGCTGTCTTTGGGTGATGTCTCATGATCTTTTGCTCATGACACAACAACGAACTCTGAAGTGCATCCACCCAGAGACTGTAAATATCGCTTGAATCTTCAATTGAGCACACTATGTATGTGAACTTCTCTGAGAGTGTGCGTAAAATCTTCTCCATAATTTGGTTGTCCTGCATATCCTCTCCAAGGTTCCTCATATCAGTTGCCTCTAGCAACACCCTAGAGAAATAATCTATGATAGTTTCCTCGTTCTTCATCTCCAGTATTTCGAACTCCCTTCTGAGGCGTTGAAGTTGTGCCCTTTGAACGCGCTTACTTCCCTGATATTTTTTTTAGAGACTCCCACAATTGCTTAGAGGTATCCTTTTGAATTATTGTTTTCAGAACTGATTTATCTATAACTTGGAATAGATAATTTTTTACTCTAAGATCTTTAAGCTTGAGATCCGCCAAAGTTTGTCTTTGCGCTCCAGTCATAATTTCTCCTCGAGCTTGCTCAATATAGCCAGTTTCAATCAGATTCCACCATTCTTTTAATCTCAGAAAATTCTCCATTAGCATGCTCCATTGCTCATAGTCTCCATCAAATTTGGGGATGGTTAGCATGTTATGCCCTTCTCCTGCCATTGCTGAATCTTCTGTATTCTCTATTTTCTTTCTCAATTATCAGGCCCCAATTGGAGCTCTGATACCAATTTGTTAGAACAGATCTGTAACAATAAATTTAGAATGAAAAACGTGATTATTTTATTGATGTTTTGCTTATCTTAAATAACCTAAGTACAACTTAAAAAATCCTAACATTTAGGAATCCACTACTACTCAGTTCTCCTACAATATAGGTCTGACTTATTCAACTAAAGACTTGGTAAAACCCTAACAAACTAAATTATTCAACTACAGACCTTAACATTGTCATTGCTAGGTGACATTGAAAGTTGTTAAACGATTATTGTTACATGTAGTTGGATTTTTTTCTTTGTTGGGTTGTCATTGCTAGGTGACATTTGAAAGTTATTAAACGATCATTGTTAAATGTAGGGTGGACGGATTGATTTGTTGGGTTTAAATTAAATTAAATTTTTTTATATTTTTTATTTATGGATTTCTCCAAAGAATAGAGATAAAAGTCGATTTAATTATTTTATTTTCTTGTTTTATAAATTTAGTCACAAGTTTCTAACATTTCTTTCAATTTGTGAATTAAAACATTTTATTTTTAAGTTGTTGTGATTAAATATGAATATATATAAATGATTAATCATGTTTTTGTTACGAGTTTAATTGGTATGTACTAACAGTGTAAAATAATTTTACACTGGCATTCAATAGAAATTTATTAATGTGTCATGTCATATCGTTAACTTAAAAATTATAGTCTGATGTCATACACGGGAGTTATTGGTTGACAATGTAAAATAATTTTACACTTCAGTATATACCAATTGGTTGACAGTGTAAAATAATTTTACACTTCAGTACATATCAATTGGTTGACAGTGTAAAATAATTTTCTAGTACATATCAATTAAATTATTTTATTATTTTTTACACTTTTATATTATTTTTGTGAGTATTTTAATTTGTAATTATTAAAAAAAACATTGACTGAGCTCACGTGTCACAAAAAGATGCGAGTGAGATTTTCAGTCGACCTGCTTTGCCCCACAACACTCAACTTAAATGTTCAATTCTAAAATAGGAAATAGAAGAAAGAAAATAAGGTTAGAGTTTTACAAGTAATATGAATTCTAGAGTTACAAAATGAAATGCACTATCCAACCATACAATGCTCTTCAAAAGTTTTTGGTATAAGTTGGTTCATCAATTTTCTAAATTCAAAGAAATACACTGAACCTACTTGAACCTACTGTGTCCACAATCCTTCTTAATTTTACCATGTCTTAATTTTACAATGCATTACCATGAAATGTTACGAGTTTGTTAAAAAATAAAATTAAACATAGCATATTAAAAAAAAACTCATAAAATAAAATAAAAATCTAATATATCAAACTAAAGTAATCAACACCATAACCGACCTAACAAATTATCAATCATATTAGAGACAAAAGGAAATAATAGATATTTGACTTTTCACCGCCGACTTTTTTTTCTTACCGTCGGCTGAGCTTCTTTTTCTTTTTGCTCAGAATAGGAATCTAAATCTCTTTTTCATGGAATTTGCTGATCTTTTCCCTGAAACCATATTTATGGTGTTTTTGCTTAAAATATTTCTCTCATGTCATCTTATCCTCCTCTGATGAATTTGTTGCCTTCAATTTTGTTTTGCATAACCATTTGCTAGCTTGTGCTACAGTGTATGCATCCACCAATTTCACTAAAAGGAGAGATCTTTGGGATGATCTCACCAACTCATTTTTTCACACTCTATTCCATGGTCTTTCGTGGGAGATTTTAATGTTATTATTGGTGCTCATGAACATCGTGGTAGATACTCTCCGGCCAAAATTACGATAACAGAGTTTAAGAATTAGTCTAATAATAATAGTCTTATTCACTTTCCCACTAGTGGAGATATCTTCACTTGGCCCAACAAGTGGATTTCTTCTTACTCCGTTGAGAGGCGTCTTAATAGATGTATTGGAAACATGCTTTGGTTTGATGCTTGCAATCAAATATTCGTTTCTTCTCTCATCAGATCTAGATCTGATCATTCTCCGCCGTTGTTTGAATTCCACGTTAACCAGGCATGTGTGGTTTCTCAAATAAAGTTTCTAAAGGCTTGGTCGATGCACAAGGATTGTAAGAAGCTGATTGAATCTGTCTGGTCTTAAAAAGGTTATTGATTGTCATATGTACACACTTTTTAGAAAGCTGCAGTTGCTGAAATATAAACTTAAGGAATGGAATAAAAATGTCTTTGGGAATGTCACCTCTAATGTTAAGAGTGCTAAAGAGTTACTTGGTAATATTTAACATAAAATCCAGATTGAAGGTCTGAATGACAATCTAAAACAACAAGAAATAGATGCACAAAAATCTCTTTCGATTGCTCTCGACATGGAGGAGTGCTTTTGGAAGGCAAAGTCCAGGACCATTTGGCATTTGAAGGGTGATCGGAATACGACTTTCTTCCACCGTGTTTCTAAAATTAAATCCAAGCTTAAGCCTATTTCCATGTTTAAGCATGGTGATGCAGTATTGACAGATTCTAAGGCCATTGCAGATTGCACTGTGAATTACTTCAAAAACCTATTTTCTACTAAGCTTCTGTTTTGCAGGATATGAGTATGGTTGATGACACTATTCCCAGGCTAGTTGACGACAATATGAATGTTGTTCTTTCGCAATTACCGTCTTTGGAAGAGATTTCTACAAATGTTTTTGCGCTTAATAAAGACAGTGCTCCGGGTCCCAATGGTTTTGGAGCTACCTTTTTTCAGTTATTTTGGAATATCGTTAAAGTGGACGTCTCAAATCCTGTCACCGATTTCTTTATCAATGGCTGGATTCTGCCTAGTTACAATTTTAACTCTATTGCTTTAATTCCTAAGGTCAAGGGTGCTGATGGTTTAGAATCTTCGTCCCATCGCCTTATGGAATTTCAAGTTCAAGCTGATATCTAAAACTATTGCTGACCGACTGGCGACTTTAATGCCTTTCCTAGTTTCGCAGGAGCAGTGTGGTTTCATTTAGGGTAGGCATATTCATGACTGTATCGGGCTTGCTTCGGAGGAGGTTAATCTGTTGAATTCTAAATCTTGGTGTGGAAATGTTGCTCTCAAGGTTGACATTAAGAAAGCCTTCAACACTCTTAATTGGAATTTATTAATGAAAGTTCTTAGAAATTTTGGTTTTAATGATAAATTTTGTTCGTGGATTGGCTTGATTTTCCACTCTGCTTTCATGTCTGTCAACATCAACTGGGTGCTGCAAGGCTACTTCTCTTATTCTCGTAGAGTTTGACAGGGTGATCCGCTTTCGTCGCTTCTTTTCTGCCTCGCAGAGGATGTCCTCAGTAGGAAACTGTTGCAGTTAGTTTCATCCAACAATCCCGACCGAATTTCTGGCCTGAACCATATAAAGCTTCCTTCATATATCTTGTACGCAGATGACATGTTCATTTTCTACAAAGGCTAGCTTTCCAACATAAATACTCTCATCAATACTTTCAAGATTATGCTGCAGTGTCGGGGCAAGAAGTTAATTGCAAGAAATCTTTCATTTATGACGGGTCAATGACTACTTCTAGGCTGAATATTCTTGTTGATCTTACAGTTTTTCAAAAAGGCTTATTGCCCTTTGTGTATCTTGATGTCCCGCTTTTCATTGGCAAACCTAAAAAAGTTCACTTGCAGCCTATTGCGAACAAAATTGTTAGCAAATTGGCGTCGTGGAAAGGTTCGCTGCTTTCTTATGCTGGAAGGGTGGAGATGGTCAAATACACCATTCTTGGGATGCTCCATATAGTACATCCATTTATAATTGACTTTTGTCAAGATCTTAAGAAGGCGGTTCAAATATTCATATTGTTTGGTGACATTGTAAATAATAAACTTGTTGTAGTGGCTTGGTCCAACCCCTAGAAATCGAGTTCTGAAGGTGGGCTTGGTATTCAATCCTTATGCAGGCTGAACGACACTTTCAATTTGTAACTCACTTGGGACTTGCTTCACTCAACGACTAGCTCAGTTAGTCTTCTTTGTAGTCGAGTCAAGCGTGCGAACAGTTTCATTAAACATCACGTATTCTCTCCTATTTGGTCCAGTGCAAAACAAGAATTGGGTACTATTTTGGAGAATTCTTCTTGGTGTATTGGCAATGGCAAGTCTATTGTTTATGGTACGGTTCTTGGTGTCGTTCACCGCTGTTTCTGGACGAGGTTGCTCCGTTTTTGGTGGATGACCAAAAGGTTAATGAGATCATTGTTAATGGGCAGTGAGATTATTGTTAGTTGCCACTACAAATGCAGCATTACTTTGAGTAACTTGCTTGGTTACTCCCCCTCAAACTGATGCTCTCATCAGCTGAGTTCACATACTGCATAGCCTGCAGTTACATACCAACATCCAACCTGTTTTGGATGTCATGACTTCCAGAATAACATCCTGAAGTCACACAACTTTCTAAGCCTAACTCTCTGACCTGTTAGCTTAGATTTCAGCAGTCTCACTTACTTGTGGACTAACCAGTGCTACTCACCCTGCAGGGATGCACTGTAACAGTCCAATTTTATTAATTAATTACTTAAATTAATTAAATGAATTATGGAGTTTATTTAATTAATTGGGTGATTATTTATTAAATTGGTAGATGTTTGAGAGAAAAGAAATTGGATAGTAATCTATAAAAGAAAAGTGGAAAGAAAGAAAAGTTAGAAACATAAGAAGAGAAAGAAAGGAAAAGAGGAGAAATTAGAAGAAAAAGAGCAAAGCTTGGATTTCATCAAGAACAACTCTTTGGGAGAAAATTGATTAAGGTAAGAGTGTGAAGTATCATCATCTTATCAATGTTTGTGTTTATGTATGGATTTTGTGAGTTGTTAGAGTGTTTTACTCATTTTTCCATTTAGGGCATAAATGAGTTAAATCGATAGAACCGATGTTTTATCGGTTAGAATCTGAGATAAGTGGTGTAGATTAGTCGGGTTATGTTAGACTAATACCACTGGAATGATTTGGAATTGAGTTGGATGATTTTGGAGAGGTTGGGAAATTCTGAATAGTGAGGAATTTCTGGTTCGCAAACACTCGCTAGCTGTTTGCTAAGCGAGCTGGTTGCGAATGCTCGCTGTGTCCTCGCCTAGCGAGCTAGTGACGAGTGGAAACAGAATGAGAAAGGTCCCATTCGCTGGTAGAGAATGAGGTCGCGAATGGTTCGTTGGGGGTTCGCTGTAGCAAACAAGGTCGCGAGTGAGGTCTGTAGCCTCTGTTTTGGTTCGCTAGCAGATCGCTAGGCGAATATGTAGCGAAGGTTCGCTAGCTGCTCACTAGGCGAGGCAGTAGCGAACATGACAACATTTTGAATTTTAATTGTGGTTCCATCCAATGGTGTTTGTATGGTTCAGTTGTATTCAATCCTTATTGGAAATGAATAGTTATGCTGTTGTGATGTGCTGTGGGTTGCCTTATGGCGTGAATCCTAGATTGTGTGATGAATTGTGAATTATGGTCGTATGGAGATTATGAATGCATTGTTTAATTAATTACAATTGCATGATGAGATGATTGAGTTCGTTGTCGTTGGCACGATAAAATAAATGCATGAGAACATAATAGGTATATGTGTGCATTGAGTAGTGTGTGGTGTTGGAGTGGTTTACACTAGGGTAGAATGATGTGATATCATTCCTAGTGGGGGCTCATTAGGGGAGAATGACTAGATGTTGTTCCTAATGAGGTATAGGTGTTGTGTGCACTAGGGTAGAATGATGTGAGGTCGTTCCTAGTTGCGAGCTCATTGGGGTAGAATGATGTGATATTGTTCCTAATGAGGTATAAATGATATTGTGGTGCATTAGGGTAGAATAACTAAATGTTATTCCTAATGAAGTGTAAGTGTTGGTGCGCTAGGGTAGAATGGTGTGACATCATTCCTAGTGGTGAGTTCATTGGGGTAGAATGGCTAGATGTCATTCCTAATGATGTGATAATGTTGGTTGCACTAGGGTAGAATGGTTAATGATATCATTCCTAGTGGGAAGCTCATTAGGGTAGAACGACTAGACGTTGTTCCTAATGAGGGATGAATATTGATATGAACTAGGGGAGAATGATTGTGATATCATTCCTAGTGGAGTAAACACTAGGGTAGAACGACTAGATGTTGTTCCTAATGGAGTGTGTGCAATAGAGTTGTATTCACTAGGTAGAATGATTGTGATATTGTTCCTAGTGGAGTAGTCGCTAGGGTAGAATGAAGATGTGTCGTTCCTAGTGGAATGGGCGCCGTGGTAAAATAACTGTTATGTTGTTCCTGGTGGGATACAAACGAGGTACCCGTAATCTCGAATATAGATTGTTGAGAGTGATGAGTTGTGTGGATCACATGGTGTAGATGTGATTGTTATGTGAGAGATTGATTGTGTGTGAGTGGTTGAGTGGAGAATTATGGATGTAAACATGATGTATATGTTAATAAATATCCATTATTTGTTTATGCATATTTTGTGATTCCTATGATGATGGTGATGAAGTGTGCTGAGAAATGTGGGATGTGTGTATTATTGTGTTTATATATATATATATATATATATATATATATATATATATATATATATATATATATATTTATATATATATATATATATATATATATATATATATATATATATATATATATATATATATATATATATATATATATATATATATATATATATATATATATATATATATATATATATATATATATATATATATATATATATATATATATATATATATATATATATATATATATATATATATAACTGCATGCATTGACTATTATGATAATATTTCTCACCCTTCTGATGTTTTATAATGCTCTATGAGGCATTGTAGCTTAGGATGGCTGGAGATCCTTTTTGTAAAGTATAGCTTCATTCTTTTGTCGGGTCGCTCTGATATGTAGCACCGGGTAGTTAGGCGTGTACAATATTCTTTTGGGATACATTGTGTATATGTATCTGTGGCAGATGTTTTGTAAACATGATGATGTTGTGAATCCACTTGATGACATGTATATATACATATGATTATATGTTCAAAGTGATTAAAATGTTTAGATTTTCCGCTTTAACTCTAAATATTGAAATGTGGGTGTAAGGACGAAGTTCCTCTGTTAAAAACTACCCCACCGTTACATGTCTTTTGATGAGCAAGTGTTGAATGTTTTAATGAATGATGTGACATTACTCTTTTATGCCATATTTTCAAAAGTTACTCTGATGAAATTTTAAATATGCCTAAATGCTTTAATTAATTATTTGGGGGTATAAAAGGGGGTGTTACATTAGTGGTATCAAAGCAGGTCGGTCATGTTGACCAAGTTGTTTGTGTGTGTTCTTTCCCTTATGCAATTGATATGTGTGTGTGGCACTATCAATATGATTGTTCTAACGAGGATTTGTATGGAAATCAAGAACAATGGTTGCAGGGAGGAATGATGAAGCAATTGCAGAGGCTTTGGCGATGTTGGCTGGAGTGATTGGGAAGAATCCTCAAGCCAATGTGAATGCTGGGAACAATGCCGAAGATGAGTTTCGTGCTTTGGGGAGGTTCTAAAGGAACAATCCGCCGACTTTCAAGGGAACCTATGAACCTGATAAAGAACAAGTTTGGTTGAAAGCAATTGAGAAAATCTTTCGAGTTATGAACTATTCAGATGTACAGAAGGTGCAGTTTGGCACATATATGCTCGAAGAGGAAGCTGAGGACTGATGGGGTAATACTCGCCAGAGGTTTGAAGAAGATGGGATTGTGGTCACTTGGGAAGTTTTTAGGGAGACATTTCTGGAGAAGTATTTTCCAGAAGATGTGCGTGGTAAGAAGGAAATTGAATTCCTTGAGCTGAAGCAGGGCAACTCAACTGTGGTCGAGTATGCGACAAGATTTGAGGAGTTAATTAAGTTTTGCCCTCATTA